ATCATCGAAAAGCCAACAACGCTGTACCTCAACTTTGACACGGCCTTAGTAAGAGCAGACAAACTGTTTCAACACTGCAGAGTACAATGTCGCAAATATTTACAAATCTCGTTCAACACGAATATGGTGAAGATGTCACATAACAAGTAACTCACAGCCAAAATGTCCAATGTGAAATCACAATTAAAGCAAGGTTGCTTAACATGATTGTGTCGCAATGGACCACTGAGCTGACAAAAATACCCTAGGAGATATGGATTCCACGCACAACTGACGTCTCACGCTGCATAAGGTCGGAGATCTACAAGCAAAAAGTAATAAGTAGATGAACAGAGGACGACGACAGAACTTCCGATGAAAATCGTTCGTGAAGCAACAGCAGCTGATCTAGTATTGGCACACCTGAATCTCCAGATTTGTCTACTAGTATAGTTAGTGGTCGGTTGTCGAAAATCTATACAGGCCCTATAAAAATGTTTTAGTTTCATCTACCGTTATTCTCTGAAACCATTATTTCCTAGACATCCTTCTGATAAATCTAATCACACGCTCCATAACTATCGGTCAGTTCAATAAAGTGCATTCACATCCGATCTCGAGAAAACCACTGACTGCCTTAATCGGACAGCAACATCTGGTGATCTGATTCGTAAGGATACCAATATCAGTGTTGTTTCTTCAGTGAGATATACAAAGTTCACCCGTGCTAGTTGGAAATGATTTGGAACTTTTGAAACTAAGTTTTTTAAACGGTTCTTCCAGAACTCAAATCTGAAATTTAACCCACTTTTATAACTGTTAGCCCGCAAGATTGTATTCGGTGAGACAAGTTCTTTGGTGGCGCCACATCCCTACTATATTCGTAAAATGAAAGTCGTTTCAAAATGATGCATGTCAAATGTATCTGCCCCAATACTCTCATTCTAAGGATTTAGTAGAGCCTCCTTTCACACTGATTAATAGGCTGTTTTGCGTCTTACTTGCAGTATTGAATCAAGTAATTCAATTCAGTCCCGTAGCGTTATCTCCGGTCTCAGAAATTCTTTATAAATTTAGCAATTTCATTTAGGCTCGCACATAGTTTCCACAGACGTATCAGGAGGAACTCCAATTGCATGCGAGGCAGTAGGCTCATAAGATGTTTTCTTGTTCTGTGTCAGAAGATCGAAACGTTCTCCAACCACTTGTAGTCTTTCTTATTCGATTTCCTTTTCCCATCTAGACAGTACGCATCTCTGCTTCATTAAACAACTTCACCCATACTTATTAGTTCTACTTATGTGAGTGGAAATTTACGGTATAAGGTTCTTATTGTTTCGTTCACCGCTCCGGGAGATAATTTACCTACAGATATCTTTGTTTTCACATGGTGTGAGTCTTACGACAGTTACGACACGAAAATACAAAACTTTATCCATCCCCACAGCTTTATAAATACAATGAACACAGAGGAGTCATATTTTAGCAAGGAGAGGAACACGCCATGTAACACCAGTGTGAGGAACAAAACGTTCTAGTGGGACATGCTTACGTGTATACTGGAAAATGTCAGCCCTAAATGGTGGGCATTTACGCGAGCACATCCAGTGATTGCATAACAGACACATGGGATTGGTTGTATCTGATTGGTACATAGCCCTGTCTGTTGCAGGCATACAGGGTAGCTGTTTCATACTATTTGAGCTAGGATTGGTGATGAGAAACAACTTGTTTTAATTCCTTCCAACTGTCCATCTGACAGTCCCAATAAAAAACAAATGCAGAGTAATTCTGGACTTTTAAAAGAGGACGAAAGACTTCCGCCAGTTCATTTACATAATGCGTATACTAACACTTTGTTTATTGTTCCAGGTTTTCGTGGTCATGGAAAAACTTGCAGGCGACATGCTAGAAATGATTCTAGGATCACCTCAAGGACGACTGACAGAAAGAGTTACGAAATATTTGGTAACACAAATTCTTATCGCCCTGCGCTACCTTCATTTACGAAGCATAGTTCACTGTGATCTTAAGCCAGAAAATGTGCTTTTGGCCATACCGCCTCATACAGACGTGAACAACGTAGGTCTGCCGGAAGTTACCCAGGTAAGTCATCTACAACCGTCATGATACCTTCATGTAAGGCGGCGGGTACCAAGACTAAACACCTATTGCGTTCAACTTCGTCACCAGATTCCAGAAGCCCGACTAGAAACGACGCAGTATCTCTTGAATTCCGGTAACTTAATACCTCTCTTAGCGGTAGCAATGAGAACCCTAATTCTCGTGTCTCTGTGAAGTCAGTGTCAACCCCGATTGCTCTGGAGATGAGACAGCCCTGTTAATTATTCCAGAGAAAATTCACCGTAGAGACCAACCTAACTCATGCGTACTTCGACACATTAGGTCTGAGTTTTGGTAGAGCACTTTACGTATAGTAGCCTTGAGGAGTAAACTAGACCCTCCTTCTAATTACTGTCGTAAAGAAACCTCTTATGTGATTAGTGGTCGAGCACAAAGACGCAACCTAGGGTATCCTACCTTGTCAAGGCCGATGGAGAGTCATCTAACCGAAGCTCAGCTTGTGAACCCTCTCACCAGGATAACAAGTCTTACGTCCACTTTCCCATAGACGGGTTAGATAGAAATAGGAGGATCGTATACAAGCCAAACACCATGAAAGTGACGGAGACACTGTCATAATAGAGATCAAACTTAATTTTGACTACCTTGTGGTCAATATGTAATCGTAAAGCACTGAAATCGAGAGAAGACCTGCTACTACATTATTCCCGATTTCACTCATGGTACGTACTTATCTACGTTAAAAAGGCATCTACATGATCTAAAAAAATGACAACTCCCCACAAGTTTCTTTCTATTTCAGGGCACTGCTCAACAATTCCCTCAGATAAAACTTTGTGACTTCGGATTTGCTCGCATCATAGGAGACAAATCATTCAGGCGGTCGATTGTGGGAACGCCAGCCTACTTGGGTGAGTTAAACGTAACAATCACAACCAACAACTACATTTGATGTATTGCTAATGTACGAGTACAACATACTATGTTCCAAAATCCTTATAAATACTGCAGGGACCCAACAAAACCCAACTAGAAGTACTAATAGCATAATAATTTTTAAAAACCAACCGAACTAAAACGCATACTCTATACATTTCAGCTCCTGAAGTACTGAAGAATCGTGGATACAACCGAGGAATAGACATGTGGTCAGTTGGTGTTATTCTGTACGTGAGGTAAGCATCATTACATAGTACACACCTAATGCATGATAATCCTAGCCTCAGCGGGACCTTCCCATTTAATGAAGAAGAAGACATAGCAGAGCAGATTGAAAATGCTGAGTTTATGTACCCGAGTGACCCATGGGACAACATATCTGAAGAAGGTAAGAAAAACCGTCTATTTACTAATTCATACAGCGATACATCTTATAACCCACTTGCTGCAAGTGCGTCTCAGAAATCGATTTTCCGTTGAAAGAAGTCTAAACCATATATGGATGCAGGTTAGTAACTACCAACAGTTTTGAATTATTTTGCCAGCCACTACACCAATGCATGTACTTAAGTGATTTATAGTCGATCACTGAGCCAATTGAGGAACATTCCCCTAAAAACGCGATTCTCTTTTCTCCCAAACGTATCAATTTGTCATTCTCCTAACTAATATTTTCATCTTACTTTTGCAGGACTATGTATGCTGGTGTGACTTACGCAGACTAGAGGCCTCCATTTCAAGTGAAATTCGCTTTCTCACAGCAAGTGCTGACGACATACGCTGGGAAAGATTCCGTGAGAAGTGGAACAATGAAATTGAGGAGGAACAAATAACACATCCTGAGCGAACTTTGTGCAAACTTCCGACGTGGAAAGAGCTAGCATGGAGAAAAGATACTAACATGCCAACGATATAGTGGCAGTTGAACGAGCCTCTGCGTAGCCCATTGTAATAATAAAGATTTTTAATAATTGGTTTCTTTCTAACAATCGTGCATAATGAACAGGATGTGAAACAATAAGGAGTGCGCAATGTAGATGCGAAACAAGTCAGACGAAACATAACTAGATAAAAGACAAGGAATTAAGTTTATTTGTCAAGTTTTAGCGATAACCAGCGTAGTACTGACTCATTGTTGGTGCTGCTGGGGCAGTAGCAGTTGGTACAGTCCCTGGAGCCCCACCAAGAGGCATATTCCCGTAGCTTGATGGATATGAAGAATAACCTGCGTAATAACTTGCGTATGGATTGGAGGTTTGTGTCTGAGGAGTCACTGTTGCTGTTGGAGCACTTGGCACGCTGCTTGATACGCTACCAGATACTGCAGAAGGTGTTTGCTGCTGCTGCCAAGCGTTGAACTGTTGTGCTGCAGCCATTGCTGCATCATACTTCCCCGAGCCCTGTGTACTCACCGGGACATTCTGGGAAGTGCCGTAATAGTAAGAGGCGTATGCTGCTGCTGTCGCCGACTGATCTGATGAGGCAGAAGTAGTCGTGGCAGAGGAAACAGCGGAAGATGCAATTGACGTGTTCGTCTGCTGAGTAGTTTGGGGTTTTTCTGCAACAGCAGATGCGTACAGTGACTGAGTAGACCCAGTGGCGGGGGCACTAGATCGAGGAACAGAAGCAGATGTCGGCCCAGTCTGACTTCCGTATGCACCGTACCCATATCCATAATTATAAGCACTGTATGACTGACTGACAGGTTGAGGTGCTGTCGTATTACTTCCAGCGTCCGGTTTGCCAGTCTGATGAGAGTAACCATATCCATAGGATTGTGGTTGTGCCTGAAAAAAAAGCAGGTTTAGGTACTTGGTTGGAGTTGAAATTTACCGTAAATATTCAGGGCAAGGATGAGTATTCTTCAATTTTGATTAAGGAAAAACACAGCTTTTCATCACATTATTAAAGTAAAATGGCATTTTATAGAGTAACTTAATATTCTTAAATGCATACATAAACTAAGTGCTTAGTGAAAAAACTATTTAATAGCTTACTTGGGTGGAAGCTGCACCCTGCTGAGCTTGAGGTTGTGACCGACTGGTCGACTGTGACTGAGTAGGTTGGTTGTAAGTATTAGCTGAAGTAGTCTGAACGGCAGTTACAGGTGGTACGGGTTGAGCAGCAGGCGGTCCAACATCAAAGCGGCTACGACCGCTTCTGGGACCGCTAGGAGGATTAGATGTTTGAAGGGAACCTGCCTTCTGATTTGCGTTTGAAAAGCCACTGGTGTAACCACTGGCATAATTAGATCCCACGCCATACTCGGGATATGCATTCGATTGAGGAAGAGCGCTGCCCTCTGGTTTCGTATCAAAACGTGACTGTCTAGGTGCTGGTGGCATACCTGAAGCAGAACGACTATCAGGATAACGTGATGCACCAGATGGATATAGGCCAGATCCTTCAGTATTTGGACGTTCGCCGGCTTTTTCTGAATCACTTGTACCGTACCCACCACCAAATGATGCACCTTGATTCTGATGAATATTGGGTCTACTGGACCTGTCAGGTCCAGCTTGCCCACCGTATGGATCTGCGCCACTGTTTGTGAAACTGCTTTGGTCACTAGGGTATGAATTTGGATAGTTCGGACCAGAATTAGCGTTCCCGTATGGTGCACTATTTCCTGCATAACCACCCCCACCGGGGGCATTAGGATATCCAGCTGGACCTGAAGGTGGGAATGGAGGATTACCTCTCTGATAGGGAGGATAACTACCAGCAGGTGGTCTCTGCATTGCGCCCGCACCATATGGACCTGTCCCACCAAATCGTTGACCACGATAGTCGTCATTACCAGAGCCGGAGTATGATTCTTCAGCTGCACTTTGATAACCGTCCGCAGCCACATATAGACTATATTGTTGATTATCGTTTGAAAAACCTCCACCCACTTCGCGATCAGACGGCGGTCCACCACGGCCACCAGCTAGCGCGTTGCGTCCTGGTTGACTTCGATCGGTACCCCGGTCAGCATGTCCCGTGCGCCCGGGAGCACCAGTTCCACGTCCCATTGGGGCAGCACCACGATTAGCCCCCCTCTAGAACCCTGCATTGGAGCTCCACGACCTGCACCACCGTATCCCCCTCGGAAGCCACCACTCATGGGACCACCTGAAAAGAAAACAGGCAGTGTAAAATTGGAAAAGGTTGGGATACATATATAAGCGTGTAAGCGCTACAACTTACCTTCATACGATGGCTGGGTAATTGCTGATGCTGTAGGATCACCCATATCATACGCACTGCTCATAGGTTCCCCATCAGTCGTATTGCTGTCATAATGTCCATACATTGCATCGTTAGGCCCGCCATAACCACCAGTGTTTCCTCGCTCCATGGCACCACGATAACCAACCCGACTTCCACGTGTATCGAAGTTAGGCGCTTGGTAACCCCCTCTCCCAGGACCTCTCATCATGACGCCACGTGACCCATCATATCCCCCAAACCCGCCTGGACCAGACATCCCACCCGGATAAGATCCGCGGTTCGGAGGTCCAAAGCGTCCACCTTGAGGACCACCACCACTAAACCTCCCACCGGAATGACGCCCGTATGATTCACGGTCATTATCTGTGAATTATGAGAAGTAAATAGCAAAGAACAAGACAATTAGTGAATGCTTAACTGTAAGTTGAAAATGTTCACAAAGTTCACAGAACCACAATGTAAAAGACATGTAAACATAGTGTAGATACTGCTTACTGCGTTCATAGCGATCTCCATCCCGACTACGGTCACGCGAAGCGTTGTAACCGCCCCTGTAACACAAAAGGAAATGAATAAGTAGGTGGACAATGCAAAGCACCAATCTAGTCTCCATAAATGGTGATCATTTACCTGTAATCACGGCGACCACGGTCATCATTCCGACGGCCCTGTGGGCTCCGGCGTTCGTCACGACGACCACGTCCCATGTCCCGACCTCTGTCACGACCGTCACGCCCGCGAAAACGTGAATCCCGTGAGTCATCTCGATCGCGACTTCCTCCATCCCAACGTTGTCGTTTTTCCGGAGGTTGTCTATTCGCTTGTCCTTCCTGATTATATTGGGTTACTAAAGTTTTAGCATCTTCTAGACCGAGCTCAGTGAAAATAACCTCGTCGAATACGCTAGATGGGTCTTCGGATATTGGTTTAGGAATGCCGAAGTTTGCTGAAACGAAAAATTTTAACTGGTTTGTTTTAAGTGTAACAATAAACCATCTATCGAGAGATTTACATAAGCAATATAAGTTTATCATGAATAGTTATCTGCTCATTTTCCATACCGATGCATTTCCATTGCATAAATGCCATCAACTGCAACGGGTAACTTCAAGCCATTTGTATAATTTCAACAGCTGTTCAGAAAATTGTTTGCAGTGGTAATTAGTATTACACGAAAAACAGTTCTTTCAAAAGACGGTGAACTTTTTGGCTCGTGAAATGTCTGTCTTTTTGTAACTGAGGCAGTAGATGACCATACAAATTAGCAAATATGTTTTTCTGTTTCATACAATGTCACAAAATGCACCAAAATAGGTAAAATGAACAACCATAAAGAACGTAGACTACCTCCAGTGGGAACTCCTTATACACAACAGACAATAATATATGCAAGTTGTATCACATTCTGCAGTATTCATCAAGACTTCGAAGCTATATAATGAATACCAGATCTTTGTAGCATGGGTGGCCAAACGCATTAAGTGATTGCACTAATCTTAAGCAATTTGCGCCTGGGTGAAAGGCAAATAAATTATTCATCAAATATAACAAAAATATTTTCAAACATTATAAAGACCATAAAATTCAATCCACAACTACTCGTACCAAATGGAATCTTACACCATATACACAGTATATATATATATATATATATATATATATATATATATATATATATATATATATTACCTCAAACAATGAGACATCGCAAGTGAAATCCAATATTCTGCTTCATATGACCTTTTGGTACGAGCATTTGTGGGTTGCGCATGTACTTATATAACTGCTCACACCTAACTTATCTGCTTGGTAATTTTACATCTTTTCGGCGTCACAACGCCAAAAATCAAAAACCGCAAGCCTCACTCATGATACAAATTAAACATCCTAGGAAAACTGCTAGTTAGATGTATATATGACAAACTCTCACTCGGTTTTAGAACTGGTCCTGCCTAATGGTATTCACCTACTATACCAAAACAATAAATGTTTGCAAACATTGTAAGCATTTAGCTACTTATCTAAATTGTAGAATGGAATTTACCAATCAGCAGGCTCAAGTTTAAAATAGAATGCGGGTGCATTAAAAGTAAATCCAAGGAAAACTTGCAGGACTTTATACCACCATTTCCAACAAAGAAAACTACCTTTCATTTCGAGAACTGCAGTTTCAGGCACTTCTTTGCCCTCCTCTTTTTCCCGTTGGGCAATTCGCCGCCTGAATTCTTCATCAGTAGGTACGATAACAATGGCCTTTCGCTTGAAACCTTCAAATGGACGCATTTTACGGCGCTGTGCTGACGGGTACACATTTGTCTGTGGTTAAGTTTGGTAGATGAAACCGAGCGAATGAGAAAAAAACGAAGTTTATATCAGTGCCACCACCAGGAATAGATAATTGTGCGCAGTTGTGCGATGGACCAAATCCAGTTGCAAGGTACATACCAAAAATGCAAAGCAAGTAAGGTACCTTGCATATAAATTCGGACAAAATTATACATGTCATAAACATGTACCTGGCCAAATGAGTCTACCATAATAGAACCTGTAGAAGAAATCCACCATTTAAAGCGACATAATTAAAAAGTATCAAATGGAGACACTAATGATTTGAGCAGCGATAAAGGAGTAATCTTCACACAGGTTCTATCAGGTAACTCTTAAGAATAAAACAAAATTACAGATAACATGTTTATATCAGTATACACAGCAAATGATCAATATTAAAACCAAACAGGTCAAATATGTGCAGACGTATGTGCCAAGATACATCTAGTTAGCGTCATTGCTACAATCGTCCAGTTTTTATAGCGTTCACAATGATAATGTGAGCTTTATGGAAACATTAACTCGTTGCTTCGTTTCCAGGTGGCACCAATGCAACAACAAAAAATAAAAAGAAGAGATGACTGACCTGATCCAAAATGTAATTCCGACGGCGCATACACGCCACACCAATCAGTGTATTCAGACATTTTGTTGATTTGTCAATTAAGACATCCCATCTTCCGTGGTAATTACGCTGACGAGCAATACCCATTACCTAAAATATGGAAGGATGTGAAGTGCCTCGAATAGCAATGTGATTCTGAGCAAATATGTACTGAACTTAACCTACCTTCATCTTATCCAGAATTAGATTTGTCCCCAAAACATTAAATTGTTTCTCACGGTGCTCGGCTGTGTAACGCTCAGTGAAATACGTTTTCCCTGCTCCAGGAAGTCCTATCATCATGATCACTTCGCATTCTGATTTTGACTGCGGTGGACAGCGACCATGTACGCGGCAGGAGATGGGGAGATTGTTCATTAACTGCCATGATAACGGGTCATCTGAAAAATTAAAAGTGAATTTTATGCAAAGGATCTACAAAACAGTATAGTTTAGGTTAGAAATTAGTGAATTCTTCAAACCAACCAATTAAGCTCTCTGTCTGTTTTCGATATAGAACTTTGCACAAATATGCGGTAGTTCAAGTCGCCACACTCCGTGTAGCCCACGAAACAAGAGAAGTACAAGAAAAGCATAAGAGACAGTAAACAGAGGTGTGAGACAAAGGAGTAATAACGAAGAACAAAACAGTTTCATTGGAGATCATAAGTCACAAGGAGTGGATGCATCTGCGCCACTCAGAACGATTTTGAGCCATGTCACCAATTGTTTCCAACCATAGATTTTTACCGTCCCGAGGACCCCAGCCTGGAAGTCTACAACTTCCTACGTGGCTTAGACCAACTGTTGTGGATTTCATTGACTGGTGCCAAGTTTTTGTTTGACCGCCGCTAGCTTTTTTCCAGCCTGACCCTATATCCGCTAACATTGCTCGTCGAGGGAGGCGATGACTTGGCATACGTAACACATGTCCTAACCATCTCAGTCTTTGTAACTTCACGACTTCGTCGATTGATTTCCCCTGTTTACCTAGAACTCGACGCCTAACCTCCATGTTGCTCACCTTATTATGCCACTTTACACGGGAAATAGAGCGCAGGCACCTATGATCAAAGACAGCTAGTCTTTTCATGTCTTCCACTCTCAGTGGCCAGGTCTCACAACCATAAAGGAGGACGGAGCGGACTGATGAGCAGTACACCCGCCCTTTGGTCGATAGTCGAACATCTCGTCTACGCCAGAGTCGGCGTAAACTAACAAATGCGAAACGAGCCCCTTGTATTCGTGCTGAGATTTCGTCAGAGATCAACCCGTTGGGGCTGATGGTACTTCCCAAATAAGTGAAGCGGTCAACGTGCTCTACCACTTCACTTCCTATTTTTAAACTAGGCGTCGATGTAGTCCAGTCCTGTAACATCATCTTGCATTTGGCGGGAGCGAATCGCATGCCAAACATTCGTAGATTGCGGCTCAAGGTGTTTAGAAGACTCTGCATTTCGTCAGCGTCTTCGCCTAGAAGGACTATATCGTCTGCATATTCCAAGTCAACGAGATTATTCCCCGGTAGCAAGTCAATCCCTGAGTCGCTGAAGTCACCTAGGGTTAAGTCCATTAACACATCTATGATGAAGTTGAATAGAAAAGGAGATAATGGGCATCCTTGACGGACACCACTGGTCGTCATCAGTTCAGATGACAGCTCGCCGTAAGCCCTCACCTGGCTGTATGAGTACGAGTAGAGTGCCTTAATCAGTGCAATATATTTTCTCGGAATTCCCTTTACAGCCAAGCATCTCCAGAGAACTTCTCGATCGACAGAGTCGAATGCTGCCTTTAGGTCAAGAAATATAATGACTGTTGGACGCCGGTAGGAATGCCTATGTTCTAGAATCTGTCGGAGGGTGAAGATATGATCAATACACCCTCTTCCTGGTCTAAAGCCTGCCTGGCTCTCTCGTGTTTGTGCTTCCCGAGCACCACTCAGTCTACGCATGATTATTGAGCCTAAGACTTTAGATACTATATTAGTCAAGCTAATCCCTCTGTGATTATCACAGGAAGACTTGTCTCCCTTCTTGTATATGGGGATAATCAGTGACTTACACCAACCCGATGGGACTTCTTCTGATTCCCAGACGCTGCCTAGTACCTCAGTTAATCCGGACAGTAAGCTGTCTCCACCGTACTTAAATACCTCTGGCGTCATTCCATCAGGTCCCGCTGCTTTGCCTAGTTTCAGATTGGTGACAGCTTTAGTAACCTCAGTTAGGGATGGAGGACCTGTGTCTATATCCCATTCAGGGAGGTGTTGGATGCTCGGAAGGTTGAGCGTGGCTGTGGGCCAATTAAACTGCTCCTCATAATGCTTTTTCCAACGATCCAGTCGTCTATCCTGTGAGCTAATTATAGTGCCATTTTTCTCCGAGATTGTTTCGCTTACAATTTGTCTTCTCCCACCCGTTTCCCTGATGAGTCTAAATAGTTGCCTGGTGTTGCCTATCGTCAAAGCTTTTTCCATCTCTTTCGCCTTTGTCACCCACCACTGTTCACGGTCCTTGCGGAGACTTTTCGTTTCCTTTTGTACAGCTTTCGCTCCTCACTGAATTCGGAGCTCGCCGGAATAAGTCTTTTAGCATCTATCAGTTTGGATGAGGCGGTGGAGATCCAGTGGTTTTTACTCACCTTGGGGTTTACCCTAGCAATTAAGCTAGCCAGGTAAGTGGCCACAGATGGAGATACGAACTAGGTCAACGAAACCAGAAGATTCAATCACTTCTAGGATTGTTGGTCTTCAACTACAGCTTGTACACCGACAGAGTTAGCAGCCCTTTGCTCCACTCCTAGTGGTTACCGATAGGTCAATCCTATTTCGAAGAATGTGACACGTGAGGCAACCTACAGGTTGTTGTTGTTGTCAGCCTAGGTCAGGTAACTGCCGGCAGAGTAACGATGAATTTTGAAAACAAACAGCACTACAATGGGCGAACGTGTAAAGGGTGGAACTGAGCTATCTCCATTAACTATGGAGAAGAACAGACACATAGAACTTCCAAACTCATGCTCCTGGAAAACCGCTTTACTGTAGAGCTGCAAAATGCGTGTCAGTGCCATTCACATAGCATGCCTGTTCTTCAAATAAATAGCCACAGTTTGTGACTAAATGATAAGCAAAGATTACATACGTGTCCTGGTTAATAAAAACAAAACCACGTTCTTCACGCTTCCCTACACCAACTACTAGACAAAAACAATCCACTGATTTCACCGATAGCTTCTTCGTTATCTGGCCGTGGAACGTAGATCAATCTGACTATATTCAGCACATCAAAGAGCGATGGATTCATTTGTTGAATTCTTCAGAAACGTTAGCTAGAGAAAATAACAGTTGGACGATTTTCCTTCGGACAACACAAAGCAAAACAAGTAATGAAATGCAGGGAATTATGCAAAGATTCTGAACGGATGCTTATTGGGACAATCAAAAGTGCAGAACATTTGACAAACTTCCAAGTACATCAACACAGCCTATATTTCACCAAGAAATGCCAGCAAAGTAGCGTCTTAATTCAAAGCCCATCAATATTAACGTCACTTAATTTGTATATAACCTCGCCTAGACTACTAACTTGCTAGTTTTCTAGCCGATCCCAAGCCCGGATAAAGAGGGTTGGGCGTGGTGCTAGCAACTCCACCCCAAAACTTAACCAAACCGCTAATGAAACTTCAATGCACAGATATATTAAAAATTCTAAAAAATATAAACAATAACCTTATTTCTAGCTGGAATCGAGTAAGTGAAATGACGCAGGCTGGTGAAAGCCTTCGGGAAGCCAGCCACCCGATGTGCCTTCTTTCGATGAAAGCAAAATTAAGGATGGGTACCTGGAATGTTCGTACAATGTACGAAACTGGAAAGGCTACCCAGGTAGCAGCAGAAATGAGGGGATATAAGTGCTGGGAATCTGCGAGAGCAGATGGAACGGATGTGGCAGATGCCAACTACTAACTGGAGAGACAATAATCCATTCCGGTCACCCAGAGGACAACCACGAGCACACCGAGGGAATGGCCATCATGATGTCACCAACAGCAGTCAAAGCTCTCATGCAGTGGGAACCAATCTCCTCCAGGATAATGACAGCCAGATTCAACTCAAAAGGAAGGAAACTTACAATCATCCAAAGCTATGCGCCTACAAATCTCAGAACAAGAGGAGAAGGAGGCGTTCTACAGACAACTACAAACAGTAATGGACAACGTCCCAAATGCGATATCAAAATCCTGATGGGTGATATGAATTCGAAGCTGGGAGGAGACAACACAGGAAGAGAATTCACCATGGGTCGCGAGGCCCTCGGTGAAATGAATGATAATGGTGAACTCTTCTCAGACTTCTGCGCCTTCAATGATTTGGTGATTGGTGGCAGTGTGCTCAAACACAAGGATATACAAAAGGCGACATAGATTTCACCAGATGGAAACACCAAAAACCAGATAAACTTCATTTCAATGCTGCTCAAGCAAGTGGAGACGGAGCCTACTGGACACAGACCACTAACTAGTAGAAGGGAATTTCAAGGTGAAGCTAAAAGCTTCCAGGATAGCTGGAGATAGGCCACAGTGCAAGTTCAACGCTCAGAAACTGAAGGACACAACCACAAAAGACACTTTCACTGCAACTGTCAGAGCAAAGCAGGAAACACTACACGACATCACTGAAGAATCATGCGTGGAAGAACATTGGAAGTCTCTGAAGGCGATTCTCAACGAAACGTATTCAATGGTTTTAGGAAGAAACAAGAGGCAAGACAAGGAATGACTCTCAACGGACACTTGGAAGCTAATAGAGGAGAGGAGAATGGTGAAAGAGAAAATGATTCAATGCAAAGACGGGCAAGAGAGAGAGAGACGCTGAGCTCAACTTACACAACATTGGACAAAGAAGTGAAGAAGAATGCTAGGAAGGACAAAAGACGATTCTACGACCTAGCCACTGAAGCTGAGAAGGCAGCAGGCAAAAGGGACCTGAGGACACTATATCAGATAACCAATTCTCTATCCGGGAAGAGATCAACACAAGTGAAACCTGTGAGATGGCCAAGGGAACCCAATTACCAAGGAAGAAAGACAGATTAAACAATGGGCGGATCAATTCAAAGGACTCTTGAACCGACCACCACCTGCAACCCGTCTAGAAATACCAACAGCACGTACACAACTGCAAGTTGACACCACTCCTCCAACGAAAGCTGAAGTTTGGATTGCAATCAAGGACAACAACATCCAGCGCCAATCACCATCAACGGGAGGGATTTGAAAGAGGTTACTTCACTCACTTCTTCACCTAGGGAGCATTGTCTCAACTACAGGAGGAACGGACGAGGATGTCAAATCGAGCGAGAATCGGGAAGGCGAGAAACACATTCGTTAACCTGAAACCAATCTGGAAATCTTCGTCAATCAACATCAACAACAAAATTCGGTCGGGTTTTCACTATAAACGTCAAGTCAGTCAGTTCTTCTATACGGATCAGAAACTTGGTGGGTGGGTCACAAAGAATATTTCCAACAGCCTGCTGCGGAGGTTACCTTTATCAACAACTTTCTTCGCTCTATACTGAAGATCAGATGGCCAGGCCGGAAAGAATCACCAACAAGAAACTATGGCTGTGAACAAAGAAAACAAGAACCAATCGCCAGCCAACAAATATGTAGGAGAAAGTGGAGATGGATTGGACATTCGCTGAGGAGGCCGGTTGATGACATCGCGTGTCAGGCCTTCGAGTGGGACCCAAAAGGAAGCGGTGAGTGGGACTCCAAGAGTGACATGGAGGAAATCGTGTGAAGAGGAGTTGAAACAGTATGGACTGACATGGATGCAGGTGAAAAATACAGCAGGAGACAGAAGCAAGTGGAGACGTGCAGTTCTACTAGGAACCCAAGGGAACAACAATCATAATAAATTTGTATGTCGACAGGACAGTGATTCTTAGTTCTTTTCTATGCAAATGTCCCTGTGATAGAGTTCGTAAACCAATCCCAGTGAAACATTTGTAACGCACTTCGACTGTCCTGTTTTCCTGCGTAAAGGGTAATAAATGCTAAGGAGAAAAAACCAAGATCTAACTAGTGGTTGGTAATTGTTCCAAGGTCCTTGAACGAACCCTTTCAAAGTAAAACCATTTGATCCCTCTTCAAGTAGACAGACTATAAGATTAATCCTTAACCTTGTGAGCAGACTTGCTGCTATAAACGGCAGACAAGTATCAGAACCCTGAGACTTTTGACATTCGGTTACATAAACAACACCTAGAAAATTCATGAACTATTACATTCTGTTAAAATCTTAGACGAGTGGAAAAGATTTCAGGACTTACCACCAGCTGTATCAGGGTTGAACCAAGGAGACTGATTGTCTTGTCCGAAATTGCATGCGAACTCAACATTCTTCACATAAATGTGTGGGAACAAAGCGAAACGTTCGCCAAGTTGCGATTTTTGCACACGATAGCACTCCCCTTGATCAACACCATTAACGCTGAATTTGAGTACGGCCTCAGAACCGGTCCACTCCTGAAGTAGAAATTTATATAGGAATGGAGCTTACTAAAAAGGCGCCAACTACGTCTCCTTCCCCGAACGAGCATCCGTAGTCAGAAAACTTATTGTTGCATGATTTCTTGCCTGTACCCCCGTAGCCATAGGACTGTGGCTGCTCACCAAGTGCGAAGTCGGTATTCTCCGTAGACCAGCCTACTCGCATCACATGAGTGGCCCCGCCAAGGAGACTGTCATAGTTCTCCACCTGGATATTTTTCACAACCCGAACTTCATAAAAAGCTTTCCCAGAGATTACACCGTAGTTTGCTCTGACTCCCGCCCACATTAGTGAAAAACCACCTTCTGTCTGAGGTTTGGCTTGAAAACTAGTAGCATCAATAATGAGATTTAAGTCACAGTTGTAAGTATCAAGAAAGACATTTTCACTCTTTTCCCAGTTATCTGGCTCTTCAACCATTTTCGATTTCGGTTGCGGAGACCTTGAACGTCTGCGTGGTGAACGACGGGAGTCCCTATCTCGAGATCGAGATCTGTGGCGTGGAGAGTGTGACGGTGAACGTCTCCGCTTATGGTTTTCTGAGTCTGATTTTTGGTACTGATCAGAATGATTACCGTCTTTGTCATTTGCCACCTAATAACATTATATTATAAGGATAATATACTTACTCCATTCTCAAATCCCCGCCTAGGAGATACTACGGGACTTTGGTTGCGCTCTTCCTGTCCAGGATTCTGATTATTTTGCTTGGAGACATTTAGAGGATCCAATGGAATTTCTTTAGTTTCTACCGGCCATTTATGTAAAGTATATTGCCATACCATCTAAGCCGCACTTATCAGCAGATGATTTTGCTGCTTTTAGTGCATCATTTAAACGATCCATCAGAATCTGCTTCGTGCCGAAAGTATTCAGCCCTCGTCTCCCCAATTCAGCCCTCAACTCCGGGACCTTCAACTTGGACACATCAATGTCCTCACTCATTTTGCAATGGCGGACCTGTAAGGAACGGAGACAAACAAGTAGATCTATGGTAGCGTTACTCAATGTTCCATTTGTAAAAGTTAGGTAGAGACCAGTTCCCACTTCTCAATTCAATAGTATGGTGCCTGGAAAGAAGTTATAATATTGGATATGCATGCTGGAAGCTTGTAAAAATCCTTTGATTACTCATCACTAGTTTTCACAAGCGGGACAAAGATTGCAAATTTCCCACCCATTTACCGATTTAATGGTTTAACAGTTATTGATGTCTACAAAAGGGAAGTTTGTGCATTTTTATTTACTGAGGACGTTTTTTACAATAAAGCTACATAGACGTAAATAAACAGACGTTTTTCCCTTAAAAAGCATCACCTTACTCTATTCCTAGAGTACGTAGATCGTTAAGAAGTTTTGCTTTTCACGTATAGACTCAATAGGATTTTGCATACGCACCCTCAGTCAGTAGCTTACGTGAGGTCACGAAAGTTCTAGCTAGAATTTACCTGCGAGGTCGCTACCCAACAAAGGACTTTGGTAAGGGGAAGATGGGCGTAAAAAAAATGTATGACTTCCAGTAGACCTAGGACCCCTGTTTTAACTGTCAGGTCCTACAAAGGAGGTCCTATTGGTCTTCAATTCACTTAGTAAACTCATTCCAGATAGAAGAGACCACAGATGACACTAATTAAGGAACACATATACATAAAGGTAAATAGCTGGGTATGGACGACAGTGAACTGCTAGATGAACTAACTTCATCCTTTCGCTATACTTCGAAATTGAACTTCACTTATAAAGTCATTGGACGTAACTTTAACTTGCCTGAAATATCATGGGAACCTATCACTGCTGCTTCCCGCTACAGTAAACTCTTAGATGAGGTGCTGTCGCGTGGGTGGACACAAACTATTCAAAGCCCACCCAAAACCACAGTATACAGGGCATAGTGTTCTTTTTCGACACCGCCCCATCTACCATAGACATTAGACATTTCCAGGTAGTGGCCATAACACAAGAGTCTGTTCCTTCACTACTAACCCCCATTCATTAAGACGCTCTTACCTGCGCAAATCATCCATGTGCTTCGGAAAAGCTTCATGGGGCGCGTCTAACTACTTCATCCAAAGCTTAGTTTGGCAGTAACCGAAACACTATCCTACTAGTCTTACCAAAATGTATCGGTACGCTTTGATGAACTTACTCCAAAATGTAAACAGAACCCAAGCCAAAATGTAAAAACCTTCATTCCTAGGAAGGTAAGGGCTAAACCGCAAAGGCTGCACCGACAGTGCCAGAAAGAAAATAACTTCCCGTGTCTTGTGAATATAGCGAACATTTATCTCGAATTAAAGGGAAATAACGACAAAGTCTTAATCAGACAAGAAAATGCAGCTCTTAAAGATGGCTCCAAATACGCTGCGATCCATAGACTTCACGGCAAAAGGCTAAACCCTCGTAAACACGGCCGCCTGCTTAAACCTTGGGCTACTGTAGTGGTTCGAACTCGAAAGCAGGCGCCAAGTCAAAAACCGGTGGATGCTGAATTGTAACAGCCTAGCTCTTTGTGTATAAATATATATAAATTTTGGACTTCCGCTGTCACGTTCTGCTTCTCGCCCTACCCCGTGTGATTGATCTCTAATATTGTCTGTGTTGTTCTATTATAGAGCATGGCGAGCCGGCTCAACTCGTGTAAACTAAAGCGCGAGGCAAAGGACTTTGAATCTCCTGCTAATGCTAACATCTGTGTTAATGGAGTTGAAGATTGAACGATCAATTCATGGTTGTTTGCTCAAAATCAACTTCCCCAATTTTCGCGGAGGCATCAATACGATAGTCATCGTCTCATCGGTCGCTGTTCAGAAAGAAGTCTGCAGTAAACCATCAGAAGTAATATTGTGATTTATTATTGTAATATTTGTTCACAGACCTTAGTCATACTTGATTTATATGTTGGTGTAACAATACAGAATCCTCAAGTCAACAATTGGTGTTTTGGTTTTTTCGTTCGTTATTACTAAGCGTTTCTGAGAAACTTCAAGCGACAGCGTGAGCCCGAGCGTAGCAAGAGCTGGGCACTAACGGTTTACGAGACGTGACTGACAACCTGTGATCCAGAAGATGGTAACATAGCGCCACCGGTGATGTCATCAACCTCATCAACAACGTCGACGTCCACGCCTGCCGCAGATATGATTCAAGCAATGGTTGCAGCGTTCAGAATTGCATTGATGACGTCGAATACACTTTCATCGTCCTCCAGTAATAAATCTCAAGTTAAATTCCCTGCACCAGAAAAGTTTGTTCCAGGGGAACCATTCACATTGTGGGAGGATCAGTGCCGTCGCTACATACAGCAATTTGATGAAGAACAAAGAGCTAGTGCTATCATTTGTTTATTGTTGATACCTGCGTTGAAACGCCTCAAGCTAGCTGGCGTTGACACAGAACAGACGATGGGAGTGGAGTAATTTACAGCTATGCGTCGAGCACTTGCGCCGCATACCCTCGTTCTCGAGCAGCGGGCTGCTTTCCACGCATATGTCCAACAGAGCGGCGAAAGTACAGAGGAATTCCTCTGGTGACTTCAAGAGTTACCTCCAGTGGCTTTTGAAGGAGACTCAGCAATAGAAATCAGCTCCCGCATTCTCCACCAATTAGAAGAAGGGTTATTGCACGACGAAGTAAGAGAAAGGTGCATCGCCCGTGGAGGCCCTACAGGTTGCCAAACAGAAGGAAGCTCTAATTAAGCTCTGTAAGAACCGGCGATCAACAGAAGGACCCTATACTCCGTCACAGTATCAAGAATCGAGGACACCTTGTGAGCATCGTGCGCAACCACCTATTTAGTGGAGGTCCCAACCTTCTCCGAAAGCAAGACAAACTCCAAACCAACCACGTCCAAGGGCGGGCTGGATGAATTCTCGCCTCCCAGAAGAGATTGGTGAGTCTGCCTCTTTATTAACTAATGTTATGCAATTATCAGACGAGCCATATGTAGCCAAGCAATTCCCCAGCGTTTTAGTTAAGTTTCATGGCAGAACTCTCGTTGGTTTGGTAGACACAGGTGCGTCTCGCACACTGCTGTCCAGCAAACATTGTGATGCTATAGCCAAAACTGCCACCCCCACCTAAATATCCAAACGGACAATGGGTCTCGCATGAAAGTGGCTGGCAAGCTGTTAGTATTGTGGGAAGATAAACATGATCGTATGTGGCATCCGTGTTTGGTAGTTTACGGATTGTCATGATATTTGATAATAGGTTATGAACTCCTACGCAGTTGCAACGCTTCAATTAATATCGAATCCCAAACGCACACCCTTCTAGGTTCTACATTACTGTTTGGACCAGACATTAGTAATACCTGTTTACAGCTGAGTGTGAATGCAATTGATACCACCCTGATGGAAAGTATGTTAACACAGGTCCCGCGAGAGCACACAGAGGCGGTACATCGGTTAATTTCAGAGTTTCCGGAGGTCGTATCTTGGTCCCCGGCTGACCTGGGAAGAATCACAGCTATCCAACACACTATTGAGACTGGTAGTTGTGCTCCAATACGGCAAACACCTCGCCGAGTCCCAGCTAAGTTCCGTCCGCAGCTGGAAAGCATGATTGATGAAATGCTACAGAAAAAGATAATTGCACCATCAAACTCAATGTGGGCCTCGCCTATAGTATTAGCTAAGAAGAAAAACGGCTCCCTGCGCTTGTGAGTTGATTACAGAAAATTAATCGCAGTGACCCGGAGAGATGCTTACACATTGCCAAAAATAGATGAGACATCAGAGGCGTTATCAGGCGCCATCTGGTTTTCCACCCTTGATTTAGCTTCTGGATATTGGCAGGTGAAAGTCCACCCTCGTGGTCGGCACAAAACTGCCTTTATTATACCCACCGGTTTGTATTAATTCCAGACCACGACTTTCGGGTTCAGTAATGCACCAGCCACGTTTCAACGACTGATGCACACAACACTTAAAGGATTATTAATAATAATAATATATATTCTCATTTTTTACATGAGGGACGCCAGTTTACAGGGATCATCAATTCGATAAGTTACACACAAGATTAATAAGCATATTTAGTAAAGATAATATAATAAGGTACATTTTATTTCCTAGCTATGTAGGATACACCAATTGTATAGGCATGTATAAATATTGTTTTAATAATAATATATTTGTCCCTGTTTATGCAGGAACATACCGATTGCACAGGCATGGATAAGTTATTATATAAATTACACATAATTTGATGTATGATGAATTTACAGTTTGGTTGTTCTTTCTGATATTAGGGTCAGTCGGAGCAGTCTGCTATAAAGTCTGTTTGTGTAGCACATAAAGAGATATAGAAATATTGTCTTCGCATTAACAAAAAACCCAAACATCACTTGAATGTAATACAGATATCTGGGAAAAATAAAGCTTGAAGTCAATTCTCCTATATAACTTTGTTGTGAACAGCACACTTGGCTTAAAGATTATTGATGTATTATGTCGAGATCAGTGATATATTTATTCCATTTTTCAGCAGTCTTATCGTAGTTTCATAACAGGAAAGAAATTTGATCGTGGAGGCGAAAACTAGATAAAGTCATGCTAAGTTGTTTTACTGCATCAAATGGCGCCGAGGTCGATTCCAGAATTCTCCATTTGCGCCATTTGTGTCTGCATGGCGGACTGTACTCGTAAGTTGAGTAAAATGTTGAAAAACTGTTTGAAAACCAGTTGCTTCTTCACTTCAGATCATGAATACTCATTTACAGCACGTTTGCCAGCTTCTTTAAATGGTAGAATTGGATCGTTCCTGGAATTTGAGTGATTATGAGATAAATGGTTTGGAATTAATCATAGCAGTTAGAATACAGTTAAACATGCAGAGAAGTACTTTTGATTCAGCAACCGGTGAATTTTTTATTCTTTTCGATCTGGTACCAGAATAACTGCGAACCATTCCATTCAATATGTCGAATAAGGCATGCAGGGGCAGATCATTACCATCGAATGAATCAACTTGATCTGAGATGCAGCTTTCAGCATGTTTTCGTTATATCATAGATATCCAGGTTTATTGGCGCTGTATAGGCAGTGATTTGGATTATGACGTATTACACAGAGTCTCCGTGTCCATTTGAAGTATACATATGCTTTGAAAGGATTACTTTGTTGGCTCCTACCCCCACTGAGTGTTTACAACAGCAGCTGTGGGTTTATGTATTTCCTCGCCTTTTTGGATAAAACATCGCCGCATTCTTTTTGGGTAGGAGACCAGTTGGTGGATTATAAATGATGTCCAAGTAACTTTTATCTTTTCATGTGGTGTTGCGGTAAGTTTCTACCTTGTTTTCTCATATTTCATTCGTATGTTGATTATGGTTCGCCCTTTGTATCAGGTAGACATAGTTTGATCGACTCTTGGTTGAATGGGTGTTATTGTCATGACTGCTGCTTTTTTGTCTGGAATTATAAATAGAGACAAAACAAACAACAGGTGTAGTCTCTGAGTTCATACATTAAATGGGCCTATGATTTCTGAAACTCTTACATGGGAATTACCATTGGTATCAATTACAAACTCACTTAGTGTGTCATTAAGTGCCTTTTCAAAGGAGGCCAATGTGCTTGCTAGTCGTATTTTCTCAGGTAGTTTGTTCCATATTTGGGCATACCTAATCAAGAAAAACTTTTGCCTGGTGGCTGTTTTACATGGTTCTATAGCCACTGTACCTTTAGTGTGTCTAAGGTTGTATCCTGTGTTACCTGAGAACCGAGTATAGTTAGCAGGGGTATACACTATTTGGTTAAGAAGCTTATAGAAGAGTAACAGATTTAGTCGCAGTCGCCTTAACCATAATGTTTCTAGTCCCAGGATTTCACATCTGGTAGAGTAGTTTGTGCCGTTATCGGTTCCGAGTACTTTTCGCGTGAAGTACCTCTGTACTCCTTCTACTTTCAGTTTGTCTTCTATGCGTGTACTGCTGAATATGAATGAGCAGTAATCTAGGAGTGGGCGCACACATACCTTGTACAGTAGTATTCTGGACTCGTTTCTGTAGAAGTTCCTGAGTAGGAAACCAATAAGCCTTCGTGATTTCGACACTTGATTCGAGATATGCTCTGAAAATGATAGATTGTGTGAATATTTCAGTCCTAGGTCTAGTACAGATTTGAGTCTGGGGATTTTGTGGCCCTGAATTGCTAGGTTGAGGTCAAGGTTGGAACAGCCTATGCAGAGCCATCCACACTTTTCAACATTAAACTCAAGTCTCCACGTGTCACACCATCTATCCATTTTTGCTAATTCTTCATGTATGGAGTTCATAGTTGGGCCGATATCTGTATTTGTGCAGGTATATGTCACCTTCAAGTCATCTGCATACAGTATTGGCTTGCCTATACTAAAACATTCACATATACTGTTTATGTATATAATGAAAAGAAGGGGTCCCAATACACTCCCCTGGATGACACCACTGCTGATTGGTCTAGGTCTGGAGGTCATTGAGCCAACTTTAGTTGTCTGATTCCTGTCATACAGAAATGATTTTATCCAATTGTAGAGGGGGTTGCGTATCCCTAGTGAGCATAGCCTACCGACTAACAGACTATGTGGGACTCTGTCGAAGGCTTTCCTTATATCGAAATAGAGGATAATCACTAGCTCTCTCCTATCTCTTCTATAGGTGACTTCGTTGAAAAAGTCTATATGGCAAGTGACGCAAGATCTTTTCTTGAGGAATCCGTGTTGTGACAGGTTGATGAGTTTATGTTTTAGAAAGTAGTCTGACATTTGGTCTTTGATTACTTTCTCCATGATCCTTGATATGACTGGTGTTATATTGATAGGCCTATAATTACATGCACTAGTTTTGGCCCCTCCTTTATGCTTAGGTAATATATATGTGTTTTTCCAAGTTTCAGGGTAGGTTTCGGTCACTAGTGAGATATTAAATATTCTAAGTAATAATACAATCATATCCGTACCACCGTTTTTGTATATGACGGATGGTATATCGTCTATCCCACAACTACTGTTAGCTTTTAATGTCCTTACCGCCGATGCTATATTTTGTATATTAAAGTTTATTTCACCTAACTTGTAGTTATTTTTGCAGGTTATGTCGAGAATTGGGGACGGATGTGCTTTGGTGTTATTGGAGAACCACTCACTCAGGAGTTCACTAATGATCTGGGGATCATCATAAATTATACCTTCGTGTTCTAAATGACTGATATTGTTTTCTTCACCCTTCTTCAGCCGTTTTTGCAAGATTTTGCAGAGTTCCTGGGTTTTAGAGGTGCCCTCTAGGGCTTTATTTTCCTCGACTTGTGCTTTCATTTTATGTCTCTCATCTAAATTTTTAAATATTTCGTGTATCAGGTGTAATGCATTAAATTCTTTGTATAAATAAAATCTCCTTTTTAGTTTCCTTAGTTTTATTCGCGTTTTGCGATCTATG